ATATAATATAATATTAATTTTATTTAACATTGTGCCTTTTTTCATTTTTCTATTTACTATATTAATCTTTTTCTTCTCAATTTCGCCAGGTACTTCAAGAAATGGTGTTCAATGACCTGACAAGCATTTCCTGCGAAGAATTTATACGTTTCACTTCAAGGATTTCGGAATTCTCGTCAACATTTCACTTCAAAATATAATAGCGCTTACATTATGGTAATTATTTATGTAAGTTCGATGTGCATATTAAAGCAAACGTATAACTTTGCGCTTCAATTTCATGTGCATACATATTAATGCATAATTAACAAATTATGTAATTTCCAGGAAAATGCATTTTCACGAATGAATTCTCTTTCAATGGAATTATTGTCCATTTCTGACAGAAAAATGTGCACAGATGTGCTTTACCAGAAATGGACTTATAATACATTCAATTTACATCGTTTTACGATAAAAAAATATTTGTACCTATAGTAATACAAATTTGTATTAATTTTCAGGTTTTGGATGTATGTAAATAGAGATGAAGACTGAAGGACAAAAGAAGAAATATTATAAAACAGTGATAGAAAATTAATTTTCAACAATAGTACCATCAAAGAAAATTTGAATATTATATGTATAAATAATAATAATTGAAGTCCTATGATAAAAATAATTAGACATATACAACTATATTATATCTCCATAAAAATTAATATTAATTACTAGAAACCACAAATAGTAGAATTAAGAAATTTTTATCTTATATTTATTTCTATTTTATATTATATTATGATTTATTATTTATATGTGTACAATTAACAGTACAATTACTGACCGATAATATATAACTAAATGTAGTATATATACACAATAATAATTAACGTAATGTAATTGGAAACATACAGGTAAACACAATTAACTTATCAGTGACATATATAATTAATTAATTTAAAAAAATTTATTATTTGGCAAAATGAAGCCATTTTCTCGAAACATAAGTAAGATAGAATGTACTAAATTAGATAAACTAAATAAGATAAATTAAAATAACTAAATTAGTATTATAAATTTGTAATTATCATAATTCATCTACATTCCATACGTTATTAATTGTCTGATAAAAATAATCACAATTTACATAGGATTATTAGTAAGATATAAAATTATTTAGTTCATTCCTATAAAATTTGTAATTTTCTGGAAAAATTATACTCATATTAATGTATGTATACACAAATTATATATAAAATACTGTGCATTATTCTCAGTACTATTGTTTATTGTAAATAAAAGTGTTTCATTTCACAAAAATTTGGATTAACTCATGCCATATGATGAAATTTGTACATATTTACGATCAATCTTTATATTAATTATTTAAATTATTTTTTCTAATTAAAGCTAGCTACTTTTATTTCAGTAGTATCGATAAATATTTCCGAAATAACTTAAATATTTTCAAAACAACGTAAATAAATGCATTTTTCTCATATATACATTTAGAAATTTGTATATTTAATCAAAACAATGTAAATATTATATTTAGATACAAAATACACAAAATGCTGCATTTTGCAATTATATTTGAAATACAAAAATGTTATCATTCAGTTTCTCAAATAATTCATCTAAAATATTTTGTCCCATTTCATCGTAATTACATTTATTTTTACATTACATTTCAAAAAATATTTTGGATTATATCAATGTCAGCGAACGTCTTAAATTATCGCTTGTAAGCTATACAACTTGATTTATTATATATACCAGTAAGAGACAAATCTGGTATGTAAGGTGTTTGCTTCCTTCTTTCATACGTAAGTGGTAAAACTGGAGGTATTTTATACTCGATATAATTAAGTGGATATTTAGTGAAATACGACGCCGTCAAGCCAGGTGCACATTGATACTCATAATTGTCGGATTTAAAGAAAGCTAAGGGATGAAAGCTTCCGGTGCGATCCTTATATTGGCTACGATGAAGTTGCACTGCCTATAAGAAGATATAACATAATTTGTATAGGTTAGGTCGACAGTGATAGGTTAGGTTGTCAGTGTTACGTGAAAAAGCAAAGTTGATCTCACGATACTTATGGTTATACAATACTTTATTATCTTCTGCATTCAACACTTGTACAATATCGTGAGTGAGACAATGAACGTGGCAAGGTTCTTTTCCAAAAATAAATTTTTGTATTAAAAGTAAATTATGTAACAATAACATATTTATTACTTAACATAACAGTAATATTTTTAGACGATTGATATATCGTTGTTGTTACTAATATATTATAATATTTTCTGATAATTATGTTATGTCATATTTTGACATACTTGTAATTTTATTAACATTTGAGTACGAAATTAAACATCGTTTGACACGGAAAGATATATGTACATTTTTGGTTAAAGACAAAATATTGTACTGTTATTTCATTATTAATATTATATTTGTAATAATATTGAAATATTAATTTCGAATAGTATGTAATACTACATAATCAAAGTGTAATAGTATATTATTATAGATTAATAATATAATAATGTATATAGTAATGTAATAGCTTAATAGCGTAATAGTGAAATAATAGTATTCGAATAGTATAATATATATACATCTTCCTGTTGTAATTATTTCACTATTTACTCCTATTGTACAGTTCTTGTAAATTTTGTATACTCAGGGTCGCATAAAGATTATAATTGAGGTAGAGGTGGGTAGATTCATAGTAATCTTAGTTACCATGTCACGATGGTAAAAATAATAATGACACATCGTATGAAAATGAAATGACAATGACACTGAAGACCTAGAAAATATAACCTTGAGAAAAGTTTGTTACCCATTATATAGTATTTCTTTAAATAAATATTAATGAACCAATCAGAGTATTTTTGTTTAGTATAATATATAATAGTATAATAGTTCAAGTCCAACTTTAAGATGGTTTCAAGAAATATTTATCAATGTTTCTTCTTTTCAAATTTTCAAGGTCACTCTTTGTAAATGCCAATCAATCTTCTGTAGATATACCTATAACCTTAATGTAACGTAGTTTATCGACAACTTTAAGATGATTGCATGAAATTTTTGTCAACATTTCTGCCTTCTAAGTTTTCAAGGTCACCCTTTGTAAATACCAATCAATCTTCTGTAAATTTACCTATAATCTTAATGTAACGTTGTTTAAGTACAACTTTCAGATGATTTCATAAAATTTTTGTCAACATTTCTTCCTTTTTAGTTTTCAAGGTCACCATTTGTAAATACCAATCAATCTTCCGTAAATATATCTATAATCTTCCTACACTTATCGTTTATTCAATATTAAAAAGAATTCGGCAACTTAAAAATTAATACGCTCCAATAGAAACTATTCATGTTCAAAATACAGTTATTATACAATAATTTTATAGTATCCAATTCTTTTAAAGCTACTATTACAAAACCTTTCCTGTTTTATTCCATCTTCTGTCGATCGAGATTCCTCTAGATATTTTCAGTATCCTGTCTCTCCTCTGAATTTGCTTTCTACTTTCAAGGATTTTTCCTTAGCTCTCGCGCATTCTTACAAATATACATCTGCCACCCAGATTCTCACGTATGCGAACGATTCTCTTTCCTTCCAGATTTTTCTCTCTCCGCACTTTCTCCACTCCTACCTTTACCTATTCCTAGCCCCATCCTTCTTCTCTAAACCCTATTTAAACTTCGCAATTTTCTTCCAAAACTTCGTCCTTCCTCCCCTATTGAAGAACCCACAGTGGACCTCGGTGTAATCGAGTTTCCTTATTGCACTATCAAGTTACTATTAGAAAAATAAGTTGAGGTCAGAAACCAGAATTCCAAACTCTATTCGCCCAAATTACCCAGTATGAGTATACGTTCGTGACATCTAGGTATGTGCGCATTTGCTTTATTATTTCTCTTACTCTTTTCCTATGTCTTTCTCTATACAGTATCATTGGAACATCGTGTTGTGGGGGTTGCGAGCGGCGAAGAACTCTAGCAAGGGAATAATAAACAGCGACATTGACTTCGATTTAGGCTTTTAGGACGATGCCTAGAGTGCGTGCGGACGGATGGGTGACCACGTGCGAGGATTGTACAGATGAGATATTTATGACTGGGTCGAGTGCAAGTGTCACCGACCAAATTTCCGATAGCACTCAGAATCAACAGTAACCAAAAATAGCCGCATGGGAACATCGGGAAGACAAACGTACAGAAGCTGAATCATGGATCACGCGTCTAGTGGTGACAACCTAGAACTAGTGGAATAACAAACAGTCCCGAAGATAAGGACTTTGCCCTGAGTCAAAGGTCCTACTAGAGAGGGGGCACCAGCCCAATATAAAGATATCGTCTTCGACAGGACAAGGCAGTCTGGAAATCATCATCACCTCGTTCTGCCCGTCTATTCTGCGCGTCATCTAATTATAACTGTAGAGTCACACAGTCTCTACTCGCTGGAGAGTACCTCGGAATACTCAGATTCACTGCAGTCTGTATTTTCTATTCGATTCTCAATAACGCGTAACTCTCGCAATCACAACTCTCGGTCTCAACTCTCTCAAGGACTACCTCAACTCTCTAATGACTATCTCAAAACTCTCCTCTATCTTCCAAAGCGGGCCCTTTTAAGCCCGTCTGGAAGGCAAGGCCTCCCCCGAAGGAGGAGAAAGCTCCCTCCACGTAACGCTCTGGGGTGGAAGGGATTCCTCCTTCGGGTTAGGCTCTCCGAAGGGTCACCCACGCGGGGACCCTTCCCGAGAGATGCCCACGGACGCGTCACCCCCGGTTTACAATGGGGAAAACCGGGGTTGAGCGAGGCTACCTCGCATGGCCTGGCCCCAACTTCCCCAGACTCGTCTGGCCTCCAGACGCTAACCGGGCCTCTATACCTGGGGAAGTCAAAAAATATCCTACATAACTTTGTAGTTTGTTAACCGGAAATAAAGAGAGGTACGATTGAGTTCGCTCAATCGGCTCAAGTTTCTTTTTTATTTTCGTTTCAAATCACTTTCCGTGACACAAGCAATGAACGAAAGTCTAGGAATGCGTCCGAGTGTCTGAAGTACCTGGCCCACCGAAAGCGAGGTTGCGTGGGAAATGAATGATCAACGAAGAGAGCTTGCGTATGAAAAGAGAGAGTGTTAAACTTTAAATAAGGGTGCAAGGGCGCAGAAAATGCTGAAGGCAAGAAGGTGTGTATAGTCGAGAGATAGTGAATAAGAGGATCGTGTGTTTGAGAGTTAGAACTGAGAAGAACTTAGTGCAATATTGTAATTAAATAAACATGTTTTGTTATTAAAAAGGAGTTGTTGTTTATTAGACGTGCAGATCTCGGTCTTCATATGATTATTCTAGCGAGAATTCCTACAGTGTCAATATTTCTAATTTAACAAAACTTCAATTGGGCGAAGCAGAAAATTAAATTAACAACAGAAATATTGGTTACTGCGATATTTCAATCGATGAAAATCGTTGTGTTTAGCATCGAATGAGCACTCGACGTTAAGTGACTATAGTCATTTTTAATATGCAACGAACACTTGACATTGGATTGCCATGATCATTGCCATTATATGGTAAGTGTTCGATATTGGATAACCATAAACGATTTTTTAGGCATAATCATAGTCATTCTTTTAAAATTATGTTATGAAAGTACCATGTAAATATTGCAACAACTGGGTAATATATTTTTAAAAATTATTCTCGCAATAATCTATATAAAATTTTAAGTATGTATTATGCAATAAAGCAATAAGTAATAAAATTATAAAAGGAGACAAAAAGCTCACTGGAAGTAAATACAAATAGTCGCAAAGGTGTTTCTATGAACGCGTAAAGTACAAGCAAATAGCAAATTTCATTACTTTATACAGGTCATCAACTTCCTTCATACGTTTACGATCAATTGTTGAAATGTCATTTGAAGGTATAGTTAAACCACGATTTATAGTTCGACGTATTGTACTTGCGGTGATATCTGGTCGTGGGCTGTATGGTGTTTCCTGCATACCCCATTCGCACAATGGTAACTAAAAGAAATTCATATGAGAAAAGAATGATATAATTCATTATATTTCCGAAGTCAAACACATTACATTATTTATTCCATTTACATAACAATTGTATATTAAAATGTTAAATCGTTATTCATTAGTTTTTAATTAATTGCTTTAATAAATTATATATCAAATATATATAATATAATATATAATATTTTACAATAAATTTATGTCATTATTAATGAATTACATTTATGACTTTATGAAATTCCAATATATTTTTAAATTTATGGATAAACTACAATATCATCTTAGAATTGTTGATCCGAAGTATGACCATCATCGGAAGCCAAGGACAATACTATAACGCGTTATATGTTAATGTAACATTAGAACCTTCTTATAAAATTTTCAACAATTTTTAAAAGAAATAATAAGATAATAACAAATAATTTTTATAACAAGTAATATTTTATGTTAATATACTTATAATTACACCATTTTCAAAGTCTTCATACATTTATTATTTCGAATTACGTTATGAGATCCAAGATTATGTACTCTTGAAAGCCTGTGATCAGCACTATGTCAAGAAAATCGTGGAGGAGCAAGTGTCATACTGGGACCTATTTAGATTAAGCCTGGTAAGTCTCATACCCTGCTATGATATAATATATTCTCAAAAATAAAGAAGCCATATTACCATCAAATACTAAACTTCAATTCTCCAATTTAGATTTTAATGAATTTTTATAAAATATTAGTATAATATATAGATTTTAGTCAGGTAGTGTCTGATGGTAACATAAACAGCAATATTTTTCTGGTAGTAGTTACCAAGAAAATCTGGTAGATAGTTTTACCTGTACTTTATGATAAGTTATAAAACAAGTCTCATTTCATACCTAACTTTCGCAAGGAAACGATACTTTTAGTCACGAGTGCTGTAAAATGGCGCAAGAAGCCACTGCAAAATAGTTGTTAACAAGTGGATAAAGCGTTTTAAATACAAAGACAGTTGATCCTGTGTCAAAACGTAGTTGTGAACTAAATAATTGTAAACAAGGTAGAAATAAAATAGAAGAAGACGAATAAAGAATTTATGTTAAAAACTAGGAAATATTTTCTCTTTTAAGAAAAATCGTCATAAATAACACGATAATAGGAATAATAAACCATAATTTAGCACTGATGGTCTTCGACTCTGAGCTCTTGATTCTTCTTTCCTGATTCTTTATTCGAGTCTCTTTTCTCGAATCTTTCTACGAATAACCTCGCACGTCTTTTCATTCATATATTCTTCTTACATAGTCTTTCCCTCTATCACCGTATCTATTTCCTTATCACTTTATTCCTATCACTCTATCTTCATTCGCGCAGCCATTCCTGATCCCTGCGTGATTGTGGTCGTCCAAACGTCCTCCTTTCGTTTCTCTAATATTCTAGACCAATGATTTTTAACCATTTGCATCTCACGACACACGTAAACTAATTAATTAAGTCCTCTACCATACCAAAAAAAATAATATCACTTGTAACTTTATTTCTCTGTCATTTTTTCATGTAACAATTTAAAGGAAATGAAATCAGTGCTATTTATACAGTTACATTGCTTAAAAATCGCTGATTTTGGACTAAATACTGTTCACTATATACCCAATAGCTGCATTTTTAAATGTTATGTACGAATATTCGATTTATAGGTTATAAATATTTAAATTACACGTACTTAAAATAAACCATGAATACATAAGTACCACATTAATGTCTTGATAAAGTGAAGCAAGTGTTGGGATAAAATTCAGGTCTGAGTTCGATTCCCCAGTTCATCAGAATGTATTTTTTTCTTATATTATATTTTTTATTGTTTTATTTTATATTCTATACTTATATCACGGTAACAGTGAACTTGCTGAATAATACTTAACATTCATTTTAATTTTTCGCTTTATTTAGGGAAGCAACTTTATTTACGTTATACGATTTCCCATAAGAAAATTCATTTGATAGTGTTCTATCCATATTTTAACATTCTTAAATAAATTAGAACCTGTAATTGTCGATATATGCAGACGAATATGAAGTTTAATGAGAACCAGGGTCAAATTCTCCGAAAAAGTAGAATTTGTTTCTGAAAAACTCGAGTTGGTTTTAGAATCATGTTACGTAACTTTTTAGTAGGATTTAGATCCGTTAGGGTCATAGGAGGTCGGGGCCAGGCCACGCGAGATGGCCTCGCGCAAACCCGGCTTACCCTGTTGTAAACCGAGGGTGATGCATCCGTGGTCACATCTCAAAAATGGTCCCCGCGAAGGTGACCCGTCGGAGAGCCTAACCCGGATGGAGGAGTCTCTTCTACCCATGAGCTTTGCGTGGAGGGAGTTTTCTCCTCCTTCGAGGGAGGCCCCTGCCTTCCAGACGAGCTTAAAAAGGCCCGTTCTGGAAGATAGAGCCTAGTTCGACACGCGTTACGAGTTCGTTAAGAGTTGTTAGTTGCAGTCTTTAAGAGTTAAAGTTGAGACTAATTGTGAGTTAGATCCAGTCCCTAATCTGCGGAATTTTAGAGCCGAAGTACTCTCCAACGTAGTAGGGACTGTGTGACTCTACAACATAAACAACTGACTGCATGGAGAGTGCAAACGTCTCGAGCTAGCAGTACTCAGTGTAGCAGCTAAAAGGAACTGTATCTCGTCACTAGGTCGATCTTAGTTGGCGACAATTAGTGACGGACGGTTCTTTGAGGAAGGTTCTGTCTAGCTTCTATAATGTTCAATCCCACTCCTGATATTTGTAAGGGGGCTTGTTCCCACGCGTCGCGAATGCATCGAAGTTATTTCCTTCTTATGAACGCGTGGGGTGCTCTAGACGTTTTACGGTCTAGAGCTGTTATTGTTGTTTGGTAGCCCGAATGTTAATCTGTTTCTTCCTTACTCCCTTCCCCGGAGTCGCGATGAAGTAGAAGGTTTTACTGTTTGAAAGTTGGAAGTTGACTGTTTGAAAGTTGTGGTTTGACTCACTGACCCTTTTCCGCTAGTCAGTTCTTCGCCTTGGCACGTCGAGGATGCGCGCTGATTGGTTGTTTAGAAAAATGTTTATTTCCGAATCAGCGGCATCGTATGTGTCGTGATCACCTCTTCCATGCGCCCTTGACGCGCCTTCTCCTGCAAGCGTGGGATGACACTTGAGCGGACGTGAGGTCATGGGTTTTTCCCAAGGGTTACGGTGTTCGTCCAGGTCCGGTGCGTCGGTAGTTTGTTACCCTGAGCAGGACTTCGGGATGACCCTTCAGAATTACCGAGGTTTATAACACGTCCTTTGGCTATTGAGCGTAGGCGAAATGAAGATTTGAAAGAATATTAGTTTCATTGCCCCCCAATATACCTAGAGTCCAACTCTAAAATAGTCTGACTTTCCGATCGTGTTATAAACCTTAGAAATACCGACTTCACGGCTCATTTAGCGATGCCAAGGCGGGAGACTCCATATGCACCGCGTAACAGGGCTTACTAATAATCTAATAATAAGAACTGGCCGATAATATACTATATCGTAAGGACTCTCTAAAGGCACTGTCTCGCAGAAACTGTCTAAAGGAACTCTCTAAGACGAATTGTCTAACGACTGTTTATTATCTTCTCTTTTCGGGCTGGCATTCCTATATATATTCTTACACTTCGAAGTGGTAAGTGGACTGTATTTTAGTAGAACTCTCTTCGTGACTGCTCTGTCGGTGGTTTTATAAGCTTCCTCTGTCTACTGATTGGTTGCGAATAATATTGGGGGTATATGCTAGCTCCAGCGTCTTTCGGTGGTGGTGGTTGTTTAAACAATCTGGGTCCTTATGCCTGTCGTCTTAAGGGTGATATATTGTTGCTTATTACGGTTTACCCAAGTGGTGGTTTAGGCGATAATGAGTGTATAGTCGTCAAGAGACGCTGTCAATAAGGACATAAAGCAGTCTTTCACTTGACCTGGGACATTGCGGTCCTAGAGCCGCAACACTGGTACTTGTAAAATTTCAGAGCTTTCACATTTAGATACACAGTCTGCCCTAAACAAAAGGATGAACGGAATACGGGAAACGGTATTTCAAGAATTAACAAGAACGATCTGTCAAATATGTCTCCATTTTATGAATTTTCACAATATTCACAAATATATTATAGTATGAAAGGTGCCAAATGTTCACGATTTATGTGAATAAACACGTACAATAAAACATAACGTTGTACGTACCTAGTGTATCGTGTCGCGAATGAATTTGGGGAAATTTTGACGGATTATAAGGCCGTCTCGCGATCTCGTAATGTTGCCCGATAAATTAATATTGAGCAACTGTTTCAATTAGCACGGGCAAAAAGATGATCTCGGATGGAGTCGAACGCTAGACTCTGTACGACGATAGGAACTTAACTCTTGGATGTCTCGATTGGAAGGCTGGAACTATACCCTTTGGCGTTTCAATGTGAACTGTGTTCCTCGGCGATTCGATTGGAACTATCCTGCTCAAGGATCCGTTTTGAACTGTGTTCCTTGACGATTCATTTAGAAGTCCTCCTCAATTTTCCTAAGATCGGTCTTAGGAAAAATTGGGAGTTCGCCAAATATTATTGGCCAATTAGATCAAGAGCGTTCCCTTGGTTCACAAATCGGTCACTTTGAAGGAAGAGAAGGTTCTCCCAAGCGAAGACGGTGGTGGAGGAAACCCTCTCCATCAAGGTATGGTACGCGGGAGTCCACCCGCGCGCTGGTCACCCCATCGGCCGTTAATGACCCCTAGCTAGGGCCTGAGGCTTCCAACGTGTGCGGACCACGTGGAGCCCTCAGGTCTATTGTCAGCCAAGTCTTAAGAGCCGTCGCTTAATTTCGTTAAATTAAGGTTTTCACGGATTCTCGTGTTCCGCGACACGAGAAGTCATAATAAAAGTGAAAATTTACAAACATGCAGAAAGCATGGATATGAAAATTCCGATGCCGAATTTTTCTGACCCTAAAGACTTGGCTGTTGGAAGATCATAACGGTGTCTTCC